GAGAATATTTAAATTACACGAAAAATAAACAGACTATTCTGTTTTCCATTATGATACAGTTGTGATCTAATCGTAAGTCGATGATGGTTAATTAAATGATAGATGATGCGTAGATTAATACTGATTAAAGATAACTAAGTGATATTTAACGACTTATAATAAATACAAAGTAAAATAGTATTATATTATGTAATACTAATATTACATTAATAATATAATAAAATTAATAGATTAATAATGCTTTTCTGTAATATGCTATCCATTTAGAAATTATAATAAATACAAAGTAAAATGATATTATATTGTGCGGTACAATTATTATATTATATTGATAACATTAGATTTATATTTCTACAATATATTAACCATTTAGAAATTAACGTGCCATATTTCAGTCGCACAGGTTCCTATTATTTTCAAATACAACAGGATCAACTGTTCCATTTCGGTAATAAATATACCAAAATGTAATAAAACACCGTGTTATTCTTATCTAACGTCGCAAACATCTCAAACAATATCACATGTTACCCGACAAAATTGCAAAAACTTCTGTTTTGAACACAGTGCGCTGTATTTTCGTCGTGGAATGTGGTTAGCAGTAGAATCCACGAAACTGCGACTGGTAAAAAGACAGAAAACCAAGGTCGAATCTTTCCCTCCGCATCACAAAGGCGTTTACTTGCGTTGACTCACAAAGACCTCGCGAGCACAAGATTCGACCCGGATACGGACACGAGGACTGCTGGCAAACCAGTCTTCGTGGATATGTACCATCTAATTGACGTTCACTGCCTACGTGTATTGTATCTAATTTCACGATTAGACAACGTCCTCGAGAGACTGACTCTCCGTGAAAACAGAAAAGTCGTGCGGACATAAAGTCGCTGGTCAAGGTGGAATTTTAACAATAGAACGTTTGACAAACATTTTTAACTTTTTGTTTTTCTGACACTCAGAGTCGGTGAAAATGAAGAAAATCTCGAGCGAATTGTCACAAATGTTTGACATTAAAGCGGAGACAAAAATGAGGAAATTTGCTTTGAAATATTAGTTTTGTAATGATCTGTTGTTTGAAAGGAAGAACTCTCTGTTAAAGAAGTCGCAAATGGAACAGAACAGAAGAAATAAATGGGAAGGAAATATTTGAAAAATGGAAAAGAGCAGAAGATATATATTTGGGAGAAAATATTTGAAATAACGTGAATTCGCGTCAGCGATCGCGAACGTGTTAACACGATTAATATGTAATCTTTATAAAAATTATAACAATAGATTTTTTTTTGGTTTCTTCATATATTAATTATACCATTGAAGTGAATGTATTAATTTTTTAAATCATTTCGGATATTTAATACTTTTAAAATATCAATAAATGTGAAATAAGGAAAGTTGTTCTAGTGTTAAATAATATCGAAATGCTTGTTTTTAAACGGTATATGGTTACTCACGAATATGTCTATCCTCCTACTTAAATGTACGACGTATATTGCACAAGGTAACACGTTAATTACCACGAAAATCATAAGCGTTTTATAGATAACACTTATTCTCTTATAACAAAGATAAATGCGAACAATTATCAATTATTTGGCATTATAATTCATAGATTATACTATTGTCAATTTGCTTACGTTATTAAAGATGTTTACTCAATATCAGTTTTACCACTACATAATTTACATTATCTATTTACTACTTGCGGCTAAATATTAATTATACCGTATATTCCAAAAATTTTCCACAAACAGAAATAAAAACTCATCAACTCAACAACTACTATTTATTTTATGGAAGTAGAGCACTTACAATAGAATGGAACATTTTATTGCGTTTCTTCCAAATTGTCGATTGTAAAATGTCACACGAGCTTAGTTGCAACTGTAAATAATAATAAGACAAGGGGTTAAAGTAGTAACTTTATAAACACTGTTTTCTCATTTATTCAAAGTAAATAAAAATGAAGTTGCACTCCTCGTGCAACGCCCTCGACTACATCCCAATTTCAGTCGACGAAATTGATGAAACGTCAAGGAACACGCGTAACCACTGAAATTTCGAACTACAAGCCACACGAGTCGTCGCCAGTGGTGCATTTCGACGAAGAGCTGGTCAAACTTCAATTTTCGAAGTATATGTAATAGTATTTGTCTGATACAGTAGATTTATTGTATACACTCCAGTGCATGTAATATTGCTTAAAATTGTCAAATATATTGACTGGTTACTGAGATATAGACCGTCAAAATTGACGAAATAAGGCTCTTAATGTCTCGAAAATTAGAGCCACCAGGGAAAATTTCTCTTAACAAGTTTCTTATTTAACACTAAAAATACCGAGCAATAAAATCGATATTTTGAAATTCCTCTACAGGAACTCCAAGAGTGCATCTATTGGGACTTTGATTTACAATTCAGTTTGCGTATTGCTAAATCAATTTCTTTAATAATTTCTCAGGGAAACATCTGTTATCTGTTTAATAATCGCAAAAAGAAAAAATCACGAATGGGTCATTTTGACCCGTCTGATAGTTTTAGTGTTAAAATACTTGACTATTAAAACAGATATTATAAGCATATATTAGCCATAAACATAAAGTAAAATATCCTTGAATTTACTCTTGTAATTCCTTTTTCAATGTACCATAAATCTTAGTCACGTTTTAATAAACCGGAAGGAAAACAAAGATGAGTATCACGCTGGGACAAGTTTTCTGATATCAAGCAGCATGTCTAGTATGATATCACGTTGAGGAAATTTGCACAAATTTGCACCATTTTGAAATACTTAAATTTAAAGTATTAATGAGGGGTATATACAGTCTGTCACATTCAATCATATTAACGATACCTCTGGCATTAGTAAGGTTAGTATATTTCTAGAAACTGAATATGAAATAAAGAAATTTACGTAATCATTGATACAACCTTACTTAACAGTGTTTTCGAAATTGTAACTCGACAAAGCTTCGATTTAGAGCGGCCACTTCAATAATTTTTCTAAAAACAAAAACTCGTTGCGAAAACGTTTTGAAATTAACGTCATCGTCAGAATTTAAAGAACAATCAATCCTTACAAAAATTTATTTAAAAATGACTTTTATATCAGTGATGATAGATCCGCCATCTGGAATTTTGCATTTTTGATAAAATATTCCGGTTTAGCAACGCCGAAAACATGAGTGTATCGATTTTCACGAAAATCCTATGAAATTATACATTTTGGCCAGCTTTTCGTCAAAAGACACCGCTGCGCGTCGAACCGAATATCAAGATTCGTATCGTTAACGAAGTCGGATGCGATTCGTCCCGCGCGGCGACGGAAAACCTTGAGAAAAATAAACAAGTTGTCACGGAGCCAGGGAGCACAGTTAATTCCAGCCAAGATTATTCTATTCGAGTAAATCAGTATTTTCGCATACTGAATGTTCGCGGTTAGCGGAGCGTTGCGGCAACACGGATAAACGGGCTTAATGGGGCGCCAATGAACGAGCTAATTTTCCCTCGAATCCGTGACGGTGATACAGCTCGTTTGATGCCTTTCGCACGTGGGAAATATGGAGCAAGTATCGAGCGAACTGCCGATTCGACTGCTGTACTTGGAAAGGAAAAACGAAGAGCCAGGCGTTTCGCGGATGATACGGCGAGCATTCTAAAGGCAAGAGGCAGGCTCGATGAATGTATCGATGCCAGGTCGATGGCTGATTAATTCCATTCGGAATGCGTAATACATTGGATTCATTCAAAACGTTCCACATCGGGACACCGCGAGATGAATTATCGATGTGTTCGGCCGTACCGTAAGCCCATAAACATTATCGAATCGGAATAAGATATCTTTATGACGCCATTGTGCCCGTGTTGACTGTTATACGGGGTGTCTTGTAATTGGCAGCGAGTTGATGATGCGTGAAAAATAGGTGGGTAATACAGAGTGAAATTGTTTTATTTTAGACTTCCGTTTTGGAAAAATGTTCAGACGCGATGAAATACAATGTAATATAAAGTGTTGATTATAATTTGTTTACTTTAAATAAGTGTTGAACAACAATTGAATTGCTGGTCACTTATTGTGTTTTATCTGTGTTAATGAGGTAGTTAAAGTGAAACAATTGGAATGTTTGTTGCTTTCATCGAAACCAAATCAGAAATGTCTTCTAATCTTTGAATTCTACAATGAAAATTACACTTCAGCGAGAAATCAATCAAAAAATCAATTTTGTGTACACACTTTCAAGTACTTGTCATTTCCTAAATAGATATGATAACAAAAGAGTTGGACTACTGTTCGTTATCTTTACCAAACAAAGAAATCGTAAGTGTCTAACTTACGAATCTTACGAAGTAACGTTTCAACGAACAAACAAGGCTCAGAAATAAATAATCACAAATCGAACGACAAGAGATTGAAGTTTTTATTGACTACTTTTCAAACAATAACTAACTAAAAAGAACGCTGAACCTTTAGCACTCAAGAGACGACTCTCACTCGCCATTTGATTCACCATTACAAAATTATAAAATTTTAAACTCAATATCAGTATTGAGTTTATATAAAATACCAAGGTACTTCACATGAAAATAAATAGTTTCTTAATTTACGCAAAACTTTTCTTATCTCAGTTATCAATATTATTTAATATTTCTTTAAAAAATAATGAACATTCCTAATGAAAAATATTGTCGAGTACAAAGGTTCAACACTACAATTATCAAGCACCCGAATTTAATATGTCTTCTCTCATACAAGTTACAAAAATGCGTTAATTATGATTTATACCTTACAATGCTTGATAGCGAACTAATTTATCAAAAAAATATCTGAGAAAAGCCCGCGTATCTTTCCAAACATTGTAAAAGCAGAAATTCGAGATAGGTCGTGGTCTAGTATTAAAATCCCTATCCATCGGCCCCATCCTCAGAAACCAAATCCCCAACAGATTCATAACCCCCGAGCACAGACCCACCCAAAGCCAAAAAACAAAATTCCCCCGGCATACCTTCGCGCATCTGTCGCCTCCTGACAGGCGGCGGCGCACCGGTCCGCCGTCTCCTGGCGTAGGTGTGAACCGGTACGATCAGCCTCGGCCTCGGTATAAGGAATCCACCTTGATTATTGCCACTCTGATTCACCTCGGACGACTCGCTGTCGGTGGTGCCGGTGCTGCTCGACCTTCTCGACTCGGACTCTTCTCTGGCGTTCAACCCGCTAACCCGGCCACCCTCCAACACGCCCTCCAATTGAGATATCACTTCGGCGTACGGCTGCCTGTATCTCTCTTCCTGGTCCCTAGAAGCAGCAGCTTTGCTCCTCCCGTTGCTAGTCCAATTGACGCCACATTCGCGCCAGCTAGCCTCATACAGCAACTCCATTGCCCTGCCCCGAGTGGCGTCCGGGTCCAGGAGCAGCTCCGAGTCCTCGAGGACCGCGCGACCAGGGTAACTCCTGACCTTCATATCAAAGAACGCGTTTCAAGCCGGGTTTTAGAGGACTCCTTCAACTGGACGAGCTACCAGCAGCCATTTAACAGTCCACCGTGGAAAGAGATTGTTGCCCCGGTACAATACCCAAGCGAACTTTCATCCGACACGTCGACCTTGGGCATGATTCACCACTAGCGACCGCTTTCCGCTGAGTTTTGCGCTTTTCGCACGCGGATAGGAGTTACACCGCACGATTATCAAGTATCACGGGGCTAACGTTGCTCTAACTGCGACCCAGGCCTAAGTTTGCCGATAAACACGTCGGAATTCCCCGCGTTCCCGGTTTTTCACCGACCAGAGATTTACCGTGGGAACGCGAAATTCGAGAACCGGCGAATCTGGCATCCATCCAGCCGGAAGATCGATGGACTCCGCTTCCCGCTTCCGTCCCCGTTCCTCGCGTTTAAATGTCGGCCGCGTTCTACCTGTGAATCACGCCGTACACGTGTCCTGCGGCTTTGATTTGCCCGTTCGCTTTGTGGAGTCTTAGGAGACTTCCAGGGAATTAGAGAATCTTCCGAAGAATTCGATGATTCGTGGTTAGACGCGAGCTGCTAGGTTGATCCCAGATTACTAACAGTAAGAAATGCTATTTGTAAACCCTCAGCGATGCAAATAATTCTAATCCTTGGCTAGAGGAATCCTTCACAGCCATTTTTTCTAGAATAAAGGTCAGTACCTTCTGTTGGGTTGGAATTTCCGCGATCCTTACCAAGCGTCTTCGCTCGTGTCTCCATGAAATATTATATCCTGGTCACTAATTTTATTGCAGATTCAAAAATCGTTATACGCGAATCGCTTCCCAGGTTACCGCACAGAAAACAATGAGCACTTTCAAACGGCCCGCGATGTTGGCGACTCTGATCCTTGAATTAAAGAATTTTCCATATCCATTTTCGTAAGAAGAGCATCAATTTCTTCTTCCCGATCGGAATTTCCTTGATCTTCTCTAAGTATCTTCGATATCCTGGCGAATCGCTGGATCAAGGATCCCCGGGTCCGCAGAAGTTGTTCGACTGGTCCTCGAGTTCGAATTTGATCGGCGACTGTCCGAACCGAAGAAACCGGAGCACCCGATGCAGCGGCGAACAAAGCTCGGAATAATAGAATCGATCGGTTGCGCAATGATATCCAGTTCTCTTATACAATGAGGACTGTGTTCCTTTTTTCACTCACGAGTGTCACGATCGGTGTTTCCGTTTTCGATGATTATCGATCAACTCTCGAGGCTAACTTCGGGATCCGGTGGGATGAGGATCGGCCAGCGGTCGAAGGGACACTGGTTCTTCCTCACAAAGGACAATGCCTGGGTATCCTGGCGTCCCGCAAACGAGGACACCAACAGGACCACTCCTTCGAGACTGACGCTCACTGACAGCGTTCACGACTGGTGAAAAGTACGCCCGCAAAGAGCCATGCACGAGAAACTCCCTTCCCCGCCGACACCGACTGGTGCCCCCACTATGCCCGCTGTTAGCGAGAGAAAGGACAGGGGTTCTCAACCGATTCCACCGCTCAGAGGCGATGCAACCACTCCCACGTACGATCGCGCGGTCTAGCTTTGTACATGGACTCTGTGGTGAAATGATATTTTATGGGTATGATAAGGCAAGTTGGAGGAATGGCCCACTTTTTTAGAAAGAGGTAATGGATTATAAATTGCACTGATACATAACAGAAAGAATATATCTATGAAAAATTATATGTTACGTCTACTGGAAAATAAGTTTTTGAATTAAAAGGAAATAATATGTTTTCAGTAGACTTATTAATATGTACTGAACAATGTAATTTCCATTGTTACTAATTACCTCTTTCCAGCATTATAGTAATTTGTGGATTTCTGTTTTGTAGAATAATCTGTGGAAACTTTAGATGTTTAGACAGAACTTTCCAGTGGACCTAATGTAAGAAGAACGTGTTAAATAGACCTCTGTACAAGATTAACACTAGAACTACTGCAGTCGTCAAAATGATGGGTTTCGGTTTCTTTATTTTCTAGTTATTGATATCTGGAGAATGTTATATATTCGAAATGATTTCAAAGATAAATAGTTTCACTTGAATACTGTATTTAATATGTGAGGAAAACGAGCAAAATCTGTTGTTACAATTACAATTATATTGTACATAATGTATATATTGTATTATATATTATATATAAATCAATTATACGAAATTGTTGTGTGGAAATATGATTTGTTCGATTAAAATATTTATGTATCGAGTTTACGATAAAATAACGAATTTTGTATAATAAAAATAATAAATACACGAAAAAATAAAGTTTATTACAAAATGGTTTATTGTATCAAAAACTAAAAGTGAACGAAGTTAATTTACGTTTGATTTATTTAGTTGTTACTTTCTGAAATAATTGTATTTATGTCAAAGTTATAAATTTATGGAATAAAGGATCTCGCTCAGAATCGTGTTTATTATCTGCTTATTTTTATTTTTGGAAAAGAAAGATTACATTAATCTACACTCCGTGATAAAAAAGATAGCACATGATATAATAGTATTAATGATCATAGTTGAATACTACTATTCCTCGTATTACACGTCACTTTCAGTCTACAATGGACTGCTTGTGTTCAGGATAAAAACTTCCGTCCTCTTCATTGACTTACATTTAAAAACCATAAACAGCACCGGTCGTTAATGCGTCAAAACGATATTACAGTTTGAAAATTTCTCTTGTTCAGCCATTAGTGAGTCATCAATCTGTTCAATCCAATTAACTATTAATGACACTCGGGTCCCACGTTTTAAATTTTCTGAAGTAAACAGCAGTATTTCGTGCGATGGTATCCGCATTAACATTAGAACTACCGTTCATTTAATACGACTGATATGCAATCTTTATAAAAATTGTAACAATCGATTCTTTTTGGTTTCTTCATATATTCATTATAGTATTTAAATGAAATTCTTCAGTTTAAAACTCACTTCGCACATTTAGCCTTCAACCGCCCCTTAAGAAAAATCACAGTAAAAGTTAATGTCGATTTGATCAAGGTTAACACTTTTAAGGTATCAATAATTGCGAAATAAAAAAACAGAAACCAGCCATTTGGATTGGTATGATAGTTCCAGTGTTAAACATTATCGAAGAAGCAACAATTCAGATTTAAATACAGAAAATTGCTCTATATTTGTAAATAAAAGTTCTGAAAATGACGAAGATACATAATTATGAAACGATTTATAGTCTTTTAAGAAATGTCGAAAAATATGAAGAAAAGATGTGAAGAATGCCTAAGAATGTCAATTGTTCGTTAAGAATTCCTGATTTTAACACTTAATGGACAGGGCACATAGATTTACGTCTTTTCGTGCTACTTTAATATTTTACAAAAGGTTACACTAGTAAGAAGTGCTAGACATGAAAATAAGTAATTTCTCAAAATTGCATTAATAATGATACTAATTTAGTAAAACTGCAATGATTTAGAGGCATGCCTACAGGTTTATATCATTTCATCAAACATTCTCGAGATTGAAGAATAATAAACAAAAGTTCACTCGTCCGTTAAGTGTTAAGAAGGCCCTCGACTCCTGCTTCTGCTGCAAGAAAAACGAAGATCAAGGCTGCGAGGAAATACTAAAATATGCAATGCACAACGCATTATGCAACAGTGTAAATATTAAGAAGAAAAAAATTGATGCGTGAACCACCGTTAACTAAAGTGCACGAGTAAACTCGTTTGCAATTATCTGCAAAACATATTCATTAGACAAAAAACCTGTTGGGCCGTTATTTTTACGAATGAAGAGAGATTTACATTAGATAATCCGGATGAATATTTTTATTAGATCCGTGATTTACGGAAAAACACAGACGTTAAGCCATCGACGCGTGGTGGGGGTGTAACGGTGTGGATTGCAGTATCAGTACGTACTTCGGATTTCTCGACATTGCATTTATATTAACGGAAATGTAAATGGTCCCAATTATACCACATTAAAATTAGAGATGAAAACCAGAAATGGCCAACATCGAATTTCTTTCTTTTGCGGCAGTAAAAGATACAAACGCTTCCTCGAGGAATCATTGAATAAATTAATTATTAGGGTGTATTCTAAAATATAAATCAATCTAAATTAAGTTATTTGTAAATAAATTAATTAACAAATACTTTAGATTTTGTTGTTAGTTAATTTACTGTTTAATTTAGCTAATTCATTATTTAATTTAGTTGTTTCATAGACAATTCTGTTATTTAGTTCTAGTTTTAAATCGAGAAACTTATAACGGCGAATCTTCGAGAAATTATTCAAGGAAACATAAACTAGTGGATATTTCAAGAAATCTTTACTAATAATTTGTATACTTTTTTAAAAAAAATTAAATATATATATATATATATGAAGTAAATAATTATAAATTAATTTCGACTTAATTATTTTAATAAAGTTTTAATTTTCTTATTAGTTTAATCAATTTTGAGGGATTTATTTATTATCAAAAGAACTGTATGTAACCTTTTTTTCTTTATATCGATTATCTCCATCCTGTAAATCTTGTTCAAAATTTAAATTCATACTGATTTAAAATAGTTTTTCTTTGGACACAGTTTATTAACCCGTTGAGTGGAAATACCGAGTCCCGCCTGCACGGAAGCTGTGTCAAACTTGATTTTGTAAATTATTTTCTTAAGAAAGAAATAATTTTTGTTATTTCTCTACATAAATTTAATTTGACCTGTGATACTTCAATTATCTTAAAATTATCGTATCCACGAAGTTGCAAGAAAAATATGTAACGTAAGTAGAAACGTTTGAGTCGAAATAAACCGTGATGGAAATCGTAAGGTAAATTTATTATCATCCAATTAAAAGAATGTATAAATTAAAGTTTGTTTAACTCTTTAGACCTGATTTTCGTACAAAATTATTTTCACATACCTAGCAACGATCGACCGTTATTTAATGCACCATCAGTAATGACATTATTTCGAATAAAATAGTGATAGTATACTACTTTTCTAATAGAAATAGGTTCACAGTTTTAATATTTTATTAGATATTGAGGTAGTAAAACCGAGTCTGAAATGGTTAAAACAAACTTCGTTTTATCAGTAGTAATAATTTTTCGAATATAGGAATAATATTGGATGAAAAAGGTTAAGGGATAAGAATACTGCAAGAAATAGAGGGGGAAAGAGTGGAAAGCCGAAGAGAGTAAGAAGAACAAAACCAAAGAAGAGAAGGAAGCCAAAGAGGAGGGTAGGGTCAGGCAAAGTGCAAAAATGAGAAAAGTATACATAAGTATATATAAGTAACTCCTTCAGACCTGACGCACGTTATAATTTACGCTGTTTTACTACTTTCAATATCTAATACAATATTAACCCCTTGATTTCTTTCAAATTTATTGAAAATAAGATAACATTCCAGTTTTATTCTATATCAACGTTTGTTCTAGGATATAATAATTGATAACAGAGGAATAATATGTAATTTGTATTCAAACAAATTGAATAATATAATATTTATGTATTTTACTTTTGTTGTTAGGCAAGTGCACATAATTTTGTATGGATATCAAATCTCGAAGGGTGTAGTGGTGTAAATGTAAACGGGTAGTAAACTGGAAGTTTGTTCTCACCTAAAAGGGAAGGACTGTGTATGATAAATGATAAATGATAAATGATAAATGCGAAATGATACATGATGAACGATAAATGATAAATGATATATGATAAATGATAAATAATAAATAATAAGTAATAGGTAATAGGTAATATGTAATATGTAATATGTAATATGTAATATGTAATAAATAATAAATAATAACTTCTCAGTCGTACTTTCGACTCGCGTATAGGTTTTCCCCCGTGAATTAATTTTCAAGGAGATACAGCGAGGCAACGCTCTTGCGTGACAGACCGTGATGTCCGTGAATATTAGACGCCTGTTGCGCAAATGATTCGTGCCGCTCGGTTCTTGTGTTTTATGGCCACGAGAACTCCAAGGATCATTGGCATTTCATGCGTGCTTTTTTCCCCGCAAATTCACTCTGAACGGGTGCTCGTAAAAATGAGTCACCGATCAAAAGCGAAGGATCAGCAGAAAAGTAGCATGATTTTATAATAATATAAATTAATAGTACGATTTAATTGCGCGTACGAGTTAAAATATAATTAATTGTATAAGGCAAGTGTTGGATTTGTTTCGGAGAACGAATACGACTGCAGATTCTATTCTTCACGAAGTCATTGTTAGAATAAGTTAATCTTAGTTTGTTTAATAATCCAACAGCATAATTTGATTATATACAGGAATTAATAGATGGTATTTTATTAGCATAGACTATTTTAATATTTAATTCATATAAAATAATATATGCAACACAAAATAAAAATATAGTATATATTCAGTAAAAG